ACCTTTGCGTTTCAGACATTAAATAGGGTCGGATGCGTGCAATATTTTTGAGATAAAAGCGGCAGGATTTGGTGATTGATTGGACATGAGGGGTGAAGGAGAGGTCGTAGTCAAAGAGAACACCTAGGCAGCGAGCCTTAGAGGTAGAGCGGATAGTATCGCCATTGACTGGCAGGGACACAGACACAGGAGTAGCAACACTTGAGGGAGGGAAGACCAGAAGTTCTGTTTTTGACAGGTTTAGTTTAAGGAAATGAGCAGAGAAGCAGTCAGAGACTCGAGTCAAGAGGGGTGGCGAGAAATCAGGGGAGGACAAATACATTTGAGTGTCATCTGCATAGAAATGATACTGGAAGCTGAAGAAGCTGATGAGTTTACCAAGGGAGGGAGTGTAGATTGAGAACAATAAGGGACCAAGGACAGACCCTTGGCGAACACTAACAAAGGGATTGGGGAAAAGAGGCAGAGCCGGAGAAAGAAACACTGGGAGAGGCAGGAAAAGCACCAGGAGAGAGCGGTATCATGTAGACCGAGTTTACAGAGGGTGAGAAGAAGCTGTTGTTGATCATAAAACATGCGAAATCAAAAAAATAAAACCCTCTTCAAAGTTGAATTATCTAAAATAAAATAAAAAAACTGGTTGATAACCAGAGCCAACATGTTTGTTTTGTTTTTTTTTCTTTCATTTCATTTTTCAATGCAACAGAAATCAAAAATGACTTCACCTATGCACTGGATTCATAAGAAAAATGTCAATGGAAAATATTGTGTAGATTTAAAATGCAAGGCTATTGGAGTTTAAGTAATCTAGGATATGTGTTAAAAAGAGATATTTAATTCTATGTATGCACTACAAAATATATACAAATATGCTAATATAATCTTCGTTTCAAAGGTAAAAAAAAATGAACATTTGAATTTAATGGAATAGTCCAAACAATAAAAACTTAGGTGTTCTGGTGTAGAGCAGGGGTAGGCAACCTTTTAACAGTACTGTGCCAGAATAAGATTGTGATATCTCGTAGTGTGCCAGTCCTATTTTTTTTTTAAATTGCAGTGTCTATGTTGCCGTAATCTGCTTGTGTTATTTATACTATAGTTTAGTTTTAGTTTTATACTATAGCTTTGTACGATTGTATTTGTGCATATATGAGCTGTTATATTGTATATGTTCATGAGTAAATTGTGGTATTGTGTATTATACCTATGAATTTTGGCTGTGTGTGGGGGGCTGCTTGTGGAATTGAGTGTGAGACTGCTCGTGGGGTTGTGTGCATCTATGTGGATTGTTATTGGAGAGATCACTTACTCTAAGTGCTGCAATGCATAAATTGAGGATTGTCTTTCACCACCTTTTCCCATTAGCAGATATCTGAAGTTTCAGGGGAACTCCTGGTAGGTCAGAGAAGCCTGTTTGGCTCTAGCAGCTGTGAGGGCCGTGCAAAGATACCTTGAGGACCGTGCATAGCACACGTGCCATAGGTTGCCTACCCCTGGTGTAGAGCGTGTCTTTGCACCATTGCAGTGTAATTTGTTACACCACTGCTTCCTCTACTCTCAGACAAGAGAAGATGGACGCTGATGTAGGTTTTAATTCATTCATTGCATGATTGCTCTCAGCCAATGTACGAGTTCCTACGTTGAACAAAACTGAAATCTTGCTTCTTCAGCTTGAGAAGATTGGAAGCGGCACCACGCTTCCCGGGTCCAGCTACGGGTCAAACCTTGACAAAATGGTTTTATGGAAGGTGCCAGGGCATGCTTAGCACCATAATCCCTACATACTGCTGAAGTAGTTATGGTGCTTAGAAAGTTCATTTAACCCCTTAAGGACCAAACTTCTGGAATAAAGGGGAATCATGACATGTCACACATGTCATGTGTCCTTAAGGGGTTAATACCGATGATCCAAGTATTTCTGTGTACTTTCAACAACACAACAATTATAAGACTATAACACCTGCATTCAGACCACTAAATAATTTATTTTACAAATTAAAAAAATAATCTAATTTACTTAAAATAACATCCCAAGGGGGGCAGAGCTTAGCGCCTGAGACGAATGGACACCATCTATCACAGCTCCAGGAGAGAGCAAGAAATAACTGTATCACTGGTGAAGTGGCAAATATCAACCAATTAGGCTAGGTATTTCTAAAAATAAAACTTAACTTTTAATATAGCGATAAGAGGTGAATTAAGTCACCACAACAAAAAGAAAAGGAAAACAGAATCCAAAACTCAAAAAGGCCCGCAATGGCGTCCCAGATAGAAGGCCTCTATAACTCATCTAGCAAGGCTTCTGTGTCCGATGAGGGTGACTACGACGCTCCAGCTGGGAGCAGACTGACCCACTCACCTGCGAAACCTCTGATCACGGAGGTGAAGCTGAGGGACATGCTTGGTGAGCTGCGCCGCAATATTGCAGCTGACACCAGCATGCTCCGCGAAGAGATCAGCAGAGTATCGGCCCGCCTGCACAACACTGAGCTTAACACTGCTGCACAGGAGAGTAGACTTGCGAAGGTGGAGCAGCAACTCTTAGTCCTGCAAAAGGCCCAATGACAACATCAAGACAGCATGGCTGCGCTTGAAGATAAGAGGTGTTGGAAGAACGTCAAAGTCCACGGCCTACCTGAAGCAGTGGAGACCGCAGAACTATCGCACCAATTCCGCAGAATGCTGGGAACGCTCTTCCCGGCCAAACGGGCCAAAGGGATGCCACTAGACAGCTGCTACCGGATCACCAAACCTCACACAGGTACCTCAGAGGGAGGAAGAGATGCAATCGTGCTCTTCCAGCAAAGCCGAGATTGCACGGCCTTCATGGTGACCGTGCGCAATAAAACCCCCTACACTTTGAAGGACATTCCCTGACCTTTTACCCTGATATATCCAAAGCAACCATGGATTGGAGAAGGTCCCTGAGACCCTTAACTACAGAGCTCCATGCTCACTATATACCTTATTGATGGGGCACACCCAGAAGCGTGCTCATTCCCAGGGAGACTGAGATTCAAGCCACACTACAGAAACTAGCACTGGAGGGGCAAACACCTGTGCAAGCTGAAGTTAACCCACCGACGACATCCACCATCTGGAATCCTGCTACAGTACGCCCGTTCATACCAGCAGCCCAACGAGGAGAGACAGCATCCATTTCGGTGCCCTGAACTTTCCTGTAACTAATTAATATTGCCTGTTGCTGTTATGTATAGCTCACATTTTCTTAATTCTCCCTGAGCATAGTTAAAAAGTTAAT